GACTTCTTGTTTTTCATGAGCTCCTCTCAGGATTCTTTGTTTGTCTTTGGTTTTTGGAGTGTGATTATCACATCCCTTGGTGATTTTCTTTTGGGGTCTCTCCTATATGGGGTTCGTTGAGCTTCTTGGATGGCCAGCTTTTCATCTTTCATGATATTGGGGAAGTTTTCTGTTAGCAGTTCTTCAATTATCCTCTCTGTGTTTTCTGTTTTCTCACCCTGGAACTCCAATCACTCGCAGATTTTTGCTTTTGATCGTATCCCACATAACTGTCAGGGTCTCTTCATTTTTCTTTGTTCTTTTTTCTGAGTTTTCCTGAAACAGACTTGTATCCAAGTGTTTGTCTTCAATTCCACTTATCCTGTCTTGCACTGTTTCAGATCTGCTTCTCAGCCCTTCTATGACACCATCCATTTCTGAAATCTTGTTGTTTATGTTTTCAATTTCTATTGTTGTCTTTGTAGAATTTGTAGCTGTGAATTTATTTTCACATTTTGTTTCTGTATTAATTTCCTGAATTCTTCCAGTTTTTTGTCTGTATTTTCCATGAATTTGTCTATTTTTTGCTCATTTTTGTCTGCTTTTTGCTTCAGCTCTTGGAGAATTCTGAGTGTTAGACATTTGAATTCCCTATCAGGTAGTTCTAGTGCCTTTTCTTCCACTGGAAAGTCATATGGTGTTTTATTTTGGACACCTACTGGAACCATCCTGCCCTGTTTTTGTAAATGTTTTGATATTGTCTGCTGTCTTCAGGGCATTTAGTAGTTATTTTTCTCATTTGTTCATTGTAGATTTGTTTGTTTTGTCCCTTTTTTGTTCAAATTTGGCTACGTCCGACCAGGCGGACTGTGTGTTCTTTGTTGTTTGCTCGTCTGTGCGCTCAATACTTTTCGCCTCCTTCTCCAATTGGCAGGGTCACTCAGATATGGTACGGCAGGGCAGGTCTAGCTGAAGAGGAGTTACTGGGACGGGTTGTTTGTGGCACTTACTACAGCCACCAGGGCGGATCAGTACTCAGTGCAGGGCAGGTTCCAGTAGGCTGTGCCTGTGCTGCTTGGTGGTGTGATGTTAACACCTGGTGAAGGTAGGCAGGATGTAGCGTGGAGACTGTATGTGTGGAGCTAAGATGGATAAGGGGAGAGGAGAGAGGAACAGGAGCCAAAAACATAGAAACAAACAAAAAAGAATCCTAGGGGAGCTTGCCATTGGAATGGACAGATGAGAGACTATGAAATGGAGAAAAACGAAAAGGGGAATTGGAAGATGAGAAACAAATGAATAAATAAAAGTTGGAAAGGGAAAAGGACAGAAATGTTATGAGGTCTGGGGAAGTTGTTCTCAGTTGTTGTAGTACAGCCTGCCTAGAAGGCTTATAGGTAGAGGTATACAATTCCAGGTATTCAGGGAACAGAAAGAGATGGAAGATATAGAGAGACGAGAAACTGAGTAATATAGAAAGACAGGAAAAAAGAGGGAAAAGAAAACAAAACAAATTTAAAAAAAGAACAGGAAAACCTCCCCCTCCAAATAAAAAAAAAACGAAGAAGGAAATGTCCTCAGGGATCCCTCTGCACGTCTGTGCAAGCTGAGGGTGTA